TCCGCCAGAGATATCATGGGAGAACACGTTGGGCTCGCCCAACGGCGTGCCCTTCGATGACGATACGAAGGAACTGTTAAAGAAGTGCCTCGATGTCTCCGTGCCGCCACCAACTAGCATAGCGGAGCTAATCAGACGAAGCAATGCGTTCCCCGTGAAGTTCCCAATTAATACTATGAGATGCACCGCTCTGAAGGACAGGGGGATCAGCGCGGATATTATTGAAGTACATTTAGCAAATTAGTTAATCGCATTATTAACTTATATTGTTAAGCATAAAAAAAGTTTAAATATATGTCTTGTTTTTTTTTTTTTCCCCCTAAACTTCTCTTACATAGTTTATCCCTCATACTTTTCTCTCGAGAGTGAAGTTCAGCTAAAAAAAAAATAGGCCTAATATATTTAAGAAAAATAATTTCAAAATCATCAAAATTATCAAAATTTATTTTTACAATTATCTAAAACATATAATATGCCGCATAAGTTGAAAAGTATAATTTTGTTTGAAATATTTTATTACTCTTATTATTTATTTTTATAGTTATTTCCAATTAATTTAAGCTAACTAATTAATTAATTTAATCTTACAGATTTGATATTATTTGACCATGTTTTTTCAGTTAAATGCAAATTCGGTATATCCATTAATACATGAAGCGATGTTGCCCTTGATTGCTCGATGGCTAAAACACAAGCGATTGTACGGTAGCACTGTTGAGAAAGTTATGTACGCAGACATGAGTCTCATCCAATTCATTCATCGTCTATTGGAGAAGAGGGCAGCCTCCTTCTGCGGTCCCAACGATCGATGGAAATTATTGGATAACAAGACTGGTTTCGACGGATGGGAGAGCGTCGGTACGGATAACGAGAAGGAGCCATTGGTAACTATGTAAAGTCCCTTTAATTAAGACTTGTTATCTTACTTTACAAAATATATTACATTACAATGAGTAAAGTGTGTAAATGAGATGAGAAAAGAGAGTTGAAATAATAATAAAGTTTAGCATAGAAAATTGTGAATGATTTTTTTATTATTAGTTTATTTTCAAATTTTTTTATACGTGTAACATTAAAATAAATATTTTAATATTATATGTAGTAATTCTGTAATATTAAAATGTTAGAT